TCCCTCACGCCGCCGCCAGGAACCGGCCGTGATGGCCCCCACACCACGAGCCCCGGCTGTGAACACGGGGAGGGACGGCATTTCCTTCCCGAGGAGAAAGCTGACCAGACAAGGCTGAAAACAGCTTTCTTTTTGGGGGGTGCGGGGAGAAGAGGTGGGACATGCTCAAAGCGAAGCTGTTTCACCAGCCTGGGCACTGTGGAAATACCAGGATATTCTGGGGATGGGTACTTTTTCCCATTGTCCCAAAATCCAGATGAGGAACCACCCGCCTTCGACCAAGCCCCAGCTGTGCAGGGAGAGGTTGGGCCACCTTGGCTGCCGCTGTGGGAAGAGACCACTGGCAATCACACCGCTACGCCGCCTGTCGCAGAAGACAAGCGGAGTGATTTCGCAGACGAGAAATGAGCCCCGAGGGTTGAATGCAGTGAGCTTGCTGCAGGGGTTATCCCATGCTTCAACGGCAGCCAGAAAGCCAACTACCTGCCTGAGAAGACCAGGAGTTGTCCTGACTGACTCCTCCTTCGGTCGTGGGTGGCAAATGACTTAAAATAGCCATGGGCAACCTCATCCTCTGCTTTCGGGTTTGGAGGAAGCCCAGCTTGGATCAGGTCCCTCCCTCAGTAACACAGGTAAAAATAAAATTATGTTTGACCAGAGAGCAGCCCTGAAATTTGCCTGGTGTTAGATTTTTTGCTTTAAAATTCAATCCAACATGTCAAACGCCCGCTCCTGCTAGCGACAAAGAAAGAAGCTATTGAATGACAAAAGTAACTAAATGTTGGAAGAACATTTTCGTCCCTGCAAAATGAAATTGCTGAAGGAATTTGCACAGCTTCCCAGAGTCTAGTTACTCCTAACCACTTACAAAGCAAAATTATAATCAACTGTAGGATCTGGTATTATGAGTACTCAAGAATGAACTTTTACAAAATAGAAGCTAAAAGGTTTGCAGATCTGTTTCACATCTGTGGCCCAGATATAATCAGCTCCTTCTTGTTCCCTCTTTTAAAGCACGCCCACAGCATCTGACTCGTGCTGAAAAGAGGTCCAAAGAGCTAAAAAGTCCTGAGTGTCTCTTAAAACTTCCAGAGAGGCTGAATCGAATGTATTTTATCAAGAACTCCCTTCTCTCCATGCATCCACTTTTCATTCATGCTACCTTTTCAAGTAGTAAAAAAAAAAGAAAAAAAAAAGACAACCAAGACTGTAGACGTCTAAGCATTTGGAAGCCTGATTTTTGCCATTCCAAGAGACTTAAAATGTTTCAGTTTACAGAGCAGCTTCATGCCTAGAGCAATTTGTGGTGTCTGTTTTTAAAATCTTTGTACCTTCATGTTTCTAAGGACGCTGGAGGGAAAACCCACACCCTATTCTTCAAGGTCTCTTCCACTGACTTAGCATTGCCTCCTCCTCCTTGTCTTACTGTCTCCCTTGAGGTTTTGCTGCTTCCTCGGGACTTTGATACATAAGCAAGGTGGATGCACCGAGCTATCCCAAACGCACATCCACAAGGTAAAAGTTACCTCCCTTCCTCCTCTTCTAAATTGGATTGAGTGCTGCCCACATGGAGCTCAAAGGCTGCTTGTTCCCTTCATCTTGGCTGTGGCCTCACCAGCAAACGACTGTTCTGCTCCTGCCATGGACCCACGGGCGTTGGGAGGCCAGCAAGCAGCAGCATCCCTGTGTGAGGGCTCTTGGCGTCCCCAGGTTATTTGCATTAGCTGAGCTGGAACCACAGCAAGCCCCAGGTCACGTGCCGAAGTGCTTGTCTTCATCCCATTCAGCTCCCCAGATTTTGGGGGAAGGAAGATCAGCTCAGGGCTTTGGAGTAGGCTGGCAGTCTTGTGGTGGCCCCCCAACCTGATCACAGACCGCTGTATAAGCAGTAACCGGGGGGGGCGGGGGGGGGAACAAACCAAAACACAAACACAAACCTTTTCCAAGTTTATTATGGAGGGGAACAGGGAAAAGAGGTTTCTTCCCGCTTGAGGTACTCTCCATTTCACTAGCAACATGTCAGCATAAACCAACACACATGCTTGCAGCAGGGCTGTAAAACCTGTTACAGCATTTCAAAGCAACTCGGGTAACCTTGTTCGTAGATAGTGATTTATGCATGCACTATCAGCCCACTACACTATCCCCTACCTACATCTGCAGACGCATTACGCCCAGTGCTTTCCCTTCTCTCAGCACCTCCCGACCCGGCAGTGCATGGATGCACACGTGAAAAGGGAATGGACACCCCTGCCCCGGTGGATTATCTGTCAGTACCGGAAAGGACGGTAACCTAAACCCACCACCTTCCCAGTCCAACATAAACTCAGGAGCGGTGTTGAAAGACAAATCAAAGCGCTCCACTTGGCCAACTCCCAGCGCGCCTTCCCTTCCTGCCTGCTCTTGAGAGACACCACGTTCTGCTGAGAGATCCCCTTCCCCTCGCACCCACCCCACTGGCCCTGAGCTGCCGGCCTCCCCGGCTCGCTTGCACATGCTTTCCCTGGAAGCCCTTAAGTCCAATCCCTCCCTGTACCCCCCAGGAGTTCAGATCTGGGGCTGGAACAGCAGAGCCAGCACCTAGCACCGGGAGAAGCTGTTTTGTGCGGCTTGAAGCCCTGCCCACCTGCCTCTACAGCCAGATGCTCCATCGGACTATTAATTTAGCTAACAATATGGTGAGGTGTTGCTAGTGCTTCATGCAAGGTTCTGGAGCCAAGGTGCCTAAGGTGACAAATCCCTTTCTTAACCCATTTGTTCTACCCTGACTGCTTGCGGCCCCTTTGCCCCACACCTCCCCACCAGATTCCCCAAAGCAGACGTCTTCTGACCGTCCATAACTGTTGAGACCTGGTCCCATCACCTTGCTGGGGTTGAACAGACATCTTGCATATTAAGCCACACTTCAGCCACCAAATACTCTGCTCCAGCAGTTGTCGCTGTGCTGTCTCGGGGCAGCCTCAGGCTTGCACCCACACGACCAGGAAAGGCACTGCAGGACAGTCGTCTCCTTCACAAATGACCCCAGCCTGGTATCTCCACCAGGCAGAAGGGAGATGTTCAACGTTTGGAGTGTCAGGTCCTTGCCAGTGAAAGCCTCCATCCCCTTTCTGTCAGAGGTTTGGGTCAGTAATACATAACCCAAGGCTGCACCTGAGGCTCCCTTGCACCTCAAAGACCCCTGCAACTTCAGTGAAAGCCTTGGCCAAGCCAGAACAGCACCCTCAGCTCTAATTTCTGCTGAGCTACACGCCACAGCGCCTTATGATTCAGATAGCTGAGCTCTGGGTGAAGGCCAAGGGAACTGGTCCCTCTAGCAAAGCCTGTTCCTTCCATCAGCTTCCACAACCCAGGAGAGAAAGCGCCAGGAACCTCTGCAGGCGGGTGTTGTTTTGGTATCCGCACTAAGCCACAAATGACACAGCGCGTGCTGAACTCGAACGTAAAGACACAACTCTCAAGGTTAAGAGCCTAGGACGAGGCTGATGAGCCATTTATCTTGTTTGTGCCAAATTCCTTACACCTTCCCACAGCCAGCTCCCACAGCGTATTTACCTACACAGCTCCAGTGGGTCAAGCCAGACCTTCCTCAGAGTGGCAGGAAGGGACCGGCAATGGCCGCACACCCATCACGGGCCCTGCAAGGTGGTGGCAGGGTTATTTCCCTTCCCTGCCCACCTCCAGGAGCTGCGCTGCAAACAGCCCGGGGCTGGGCACTGCCGAAGCACCAGCAGGATGAGGGGGACAGATCAAAAGCTGAGAGATCAAGGGAGGGCAGGAGGCAGGACCCATCCCACCCTTCCTGCTTCCTCCCTGGGCTTTAGCTCAGTGCTCTGTAGCCTAAACACCTCCACCTCCCGCCCCCCAAGCCAAGTGTTACCCATGGGGATGTTTCTCTCCACCCGCATTTATACACGCGCTGCTTATCTCCACAACTGCTGCGTTCTGTTTTTTCACTGCACAGCAGCATCCTGTGGATTTTTCCAGCAGCCAAAGGCACAGAGGAGATCTGCTGGGCAGGGTGCAGCTGCGAGACCAGGTACTCCCCCTTAAAAGGGGCTTTCCTGAAAAGCAGGTACCACGCACTGCCTAGCTAAGGCGGCTGCTCCCACGTCCTTCTGAGCCCTCAGCATGCTGGTGATGGAAACTGGAGGTGGGGAGAGCCGCACCCTCAGGTGCTGTTGCGATGAGATCCCCACACGTTATTTTAGTGGAGCACAGGCTCACACATCCACACAAACAAGGAGCACTGGCTTTTCCTCCTCTCGCCACTCCTCCTTCCTCGCCAGGTCCAAATAAGGAACTCAGCAACAAGTCCTGCACTTCATAATTCGTGCACAGACTGGGAGAGAAGACAGAAGGCAGAAAAACCTGTTCCATCTCCAGTCATGCCCCCCCCTTCCACCCCAGCTGCATTTGCTCCCCATCATTTGGGATTTCAGGTGTTCAAAGCAGTCACCTACCATTCTTTCTTCAGCAGTGATAAACGAGTTTGCATTTTACTGTGGCAGGGTGTATCAGAAAGGTCTAGAACAGGGGTGACAAAAAAAACCCCAACCACAAACCAAGAAGACAGCCTCAAAGAGATTAAACCATGTGTTTGCAGGACCCCTCCCTCCCAGCCACAGCTAAGGAATGCTCAAAGGCCTGACAAAAAGCTTCCTTTTTTTTTTTTTGTCTGAAAGGAGAAGAGGAAGGAGTGGGACAATCGAATCTGGTTTCAGTTTATTTCCAGAATTTTACTGTACAAAATATGCAAAGTGTAAAACAGTTTTATGTTTCGGTTTAAAAACAACAAAACCCAATCCGGCTATAACTTAAGAGAACCCAGCTTGGAACAGAACAATTTACTAGGCTAGACCCACAGTGCATTAATGTCACAGACACCAGGAATTTGCTTACTTAAGTTCACGATTAGAAAAATAACAGAAAGACCATGTACCATTGCAGTTAAAGTCATATGTGCAAAGGGGCGGGGGGAGGAAAGAAATGCTGGTTAGTGTCTATTAATTAGAAAACCTTGGCAAAACCCATCTTACTATACACAGTTTGCGTAGAAAAAGAGTATTACACAGTGATCAAAAGAGGGTGAGGGAAGGGCATTCGCTCCCACCCCCAAGACACGGTAATGCTGAATCAAAGAAACAGGCACAGAAGAGTGTAGGATTCCTTCACAGTTACACCTGTGCGGGCAGCCAGCCACCGCATCCCCCCGTGGACACAAGGAGAAACCCCCAGGCATCGTCGGGCGCTGGTGAGAGGTGCCTGGGAAGCAGCCGGAGGGAAGGAAGGATTTCCCCCTCTTGGCAGAGCACGCGTGGGGCAGGGCTGGCTGCCGGCTGCCCGCGGGGCTTCAGTGTGTTGCAGGGTTTATAAAAACGCAGTCTCTTGGAGGGATGCAGCAGAGGGGCAGGTAACACCAGCGGTGCGGCGGGGACCCGGCTCAGGAGCATCCCGAAGCCAGCCGCACCGGTCGCAGAGCAGCTGTCGGAAACGGCAACTTTTGGTCATCGTCTATCGGAGGCAGCAGCCTGAATGCAGAAGGATGCATATTCCTGTAGGAGACTTCATGGCCCAAAGCCGTCTCTTTTAGAACAGAAATTTGGGTGTGTGTGTTAATTTTTTTTTTTTTTTTTTTAAAAATCCCCAACAGCTCAATCCCAAAAGCGCTTCCTTCTTGACACAGTTCAAACACTGAGCCACCAAGCCCGGCTTGAGGCCTTAGACATGTGTAACACTGACACCTCTAAGGGGAAAAAAGCATCCGAACACACGGGCTGAATGAGAAAACAGACACCAGCGCACACATCTCCCGAACAGCTCTCACACAGCAGGGCAGAACTGAGCGCAAGTGAATAGCAGAGCCTGGGACCAGACCACAGCGTTTTTTGCAAAAGGCTGCAAGATTTTTGTTTTACCTTTGAAAAGGGCAGATTTACAAGTTTTGGTAAGCAAGATGAAATTGGGTGGAATAGGTTTCCACATTTAGGGCGGTATGGCTCTTCCCAGTTTCTTCAGCAGCATGTGTTGGGAATGAGCACATCTCAAACAAGACTTTTAAATGCAGGGCCACCTTCAGAAACTGCTTCCCTGCAGCTTTTGGCATACTTGGCAACAGCCGATTCCCAAGGCTTTGCGTGGAGATCCCCATCCCGAAGGAAAAGGTTAAGAGGCTCTGCGAGGGCTGGGATTTGTTCAGACCTCCCCCAAACTTGGGCCTTATCACGAGCTGCCTCCAAACTCCAAGCTGCAGCCTCAGCACCCCCCATCCCAGTGGATACTTGTTCTGCCTCACGAGGGAACTTCAGGAAAAACGCAAGGGAAGGGAGGACAGGAGCTGAAGGTGGAGTGACAGTTTGAGAGGCAGAAGTCAGAGGAGTAGCTAGCAGGGGCTGAAATCAGATCTGCCTTTCTCCTCAGTGTCCCCCTTCAGTGGGGTTTGCTCTCAGAAGGCACCCAGGACAACCCCAGAAGCAGGAGCAAGCTGCCTCTTGTCACCCTTTTGTGCACAGTGCATCCCACCCCAGCTCCCCTGCCGCCTATGGGGGTGTGCGGGTGGCAGCGTCTCCCCTCCACAAGGTGAGAGCAGCCCCCCCCCACCTCCCCAAGCTGACCACAGGGGCTTGGGTCAGGAACTGGTACACTGTGGAGGGCAGTGCCAAAATGCTTACACTCCTGAAAGCGCTGCCTGCTCTGCTCCCATGCGCGGGCAAGGAGTCAGAGACCCAGGGCAGCCCCACAGAGCCTACACAAGGATGGTTGCAGCCTCACGGCAATCAGAAGGTAACAGATGTGCTAATCACCTTTGCCCAAGCCTAGTTACAGGACTGGTGAGGTATTAAGGGTCTAATATCTGCCCCACCACTCCTAGAAGCTGCAATAAATCCAAATCTTTCACTCCTTAGCCATGAGAGAGAGAAACGGTCTTCGTGGAAACCCACAGCCATTTCCATCTGCTCCGCAAGAGTTGAAAGTCTTAGCTGCATCTGGCTTTGGAAGATCCCGGCATAGTTTTGGATTTAGGCAGTAAAAAGTGAGAGCAAAAACACAGCCTTTAAAGTATCTAAGCAGCATACTCGAGAGTCACAGGAAAAAAAAAAAAACCAAACCAAAAAAACCCCCACCACCAATGTGGAAGAGAGAAGTGTGGCAGCACCACTCCTGGCTAGGCAACACGGCGCCCTATCGAATGGTTCGGCCTTTAGTCAGGGGTGTCCGGTGCAAGGAACATTGTCCACTTCACCACAAAGAGGGTCATCTTATAAACCACTTGAGTTCTATAAAAAAACCCCAAATTCCCAGTCAGGTACAAGCATTCAGGCTGGGAGAAAGGAGGGAGAATATGTGCAAGGAGACAATGCGGGATAGGAGAGGCATGGGGAGGAAAACAGCCTGCGCTTGGCTGGCAAACCCTGCAAGCCTTATTTATGCTCAGCTCTTGGCAAGCTCTGCAGAAGCAAGGACTGCAGGATTTGGATGGGAGCTTGATTCCCTGTGACTCGATTCTTACTCATTAGCTGGCTATAAACAGAGTTAAACAAACCAGTCTGCTCTCACCACTCAGTATTTTTATAAAGAGCCTGAATTCCTATAGATGCCACAGATCCATCTGTGGATCTCAAAGTGCTCGATGACAAGTTGAGCTTAGCCTCACAACACCCCAGTGAGGTAGGTATGACAGTGGTCCCCTGATTTTGCACAGAGAGGGGAAACAAGAGAGACCCCGAAAAATAAAATGTCAAAAAAAAAAAAAAAAAAGGAATACTCAGGAATCCCAATTCCCCTTTTAGTCTGTCCCCACCCCTAAGCAGGTTGCATTGCTAAAGAAAGCGACTGAGAGGCCGAGTTCTCTCCTTCAGATTTCATCAGGCAAAGCACTCACGCTGCTGACACATGGGAGAGCGTTTAAGGTCGGAGTTGGCCCCCGTTGACAGCACCCTTTTCGGCGGGAGGCAGAAAAGGCAGCGCTGAGCCACAGCACACAGATGAGGAAGCAGACCCGGAGCGAGCACACGCCGCTTCCGTCTGGTTCTCCATGTGTTCAAGGATTTAATGTGATTAAGACATGAGTTTCCTGAGCAGATACCATCAGACAACTCCCCTCGCAGGGGAGGGAAAAGGAAAGGGGATGGAAATCCTGGGAAAGCAAGGAAGTTTTGCAGAGGTGCCTGAGACGAGGTGCTCTCACACACAGGGCACACCCAAGCCCCCGGCAAGGTGGTTCTTGTTCTGGCTTCACAGAGAGGAGCCAGTTCAGCCACAGGCAGTGGCCTCCACACAGGCCTAAGTGCTCCATAGTCTCCCAAGCTACTCCCAGTCTCTCCCACCTTGCTGGTTACGCACAACATAAAAGCCAGACACGTGCATCTTTAGGAGAGCCAAGGTGTGACATGCTACATAGATGCTCCCCCCCCCCCCTTTTTTTTAAGGAGGGAATAAAAATCTGTTTTTTCAAAATGAAATACTGCGAAGGCCACGGTCAATAAAGGAGTCCCTGTACAGACTACCAGAAAGCCTGACCTAGAAAGAAACCCAAACACTAAATGTAGAGAAGGCAAAAACTCTACCTACTTCCCATCTTTTAAGGGACCTGACAGCCCTATCCCGTCATGCACCACGCCGCCTGGTTTCTTCACAACCATGCCTGGCACATTACATGGAGAAGACAGGATCCAGGTGACTCCCACGACTAGGAGAGGTACAGGAGATTGCAGGGGTCACTTGGATGGGGGGAATCGCTGCTCTGGACCCTCGCTCAGCAGGGTGCTCCCTCGATCCCACGAGGACTATCCACAGGTGCTGCTGAACATGCAGCTCCAGTGCTGCTGAAGCTGGAAGGGGCTACTCCCCCCTTGCTCGCGGTGGGCGCTGGCCAGCCCACACGAACCATGCCATGCAAGACCAGCAGAGACCCACTCCCTGGCCTTAGCCGGGCCACCTCATGCCAGTGGAAACAGGGGGCAGCCCCACGAGCTGGTGAAGGAACCCAGGGAAGGCCTGGGGAAAGCCAAAGGGGACAGGAAGGGCTGCCACAGGCCCCCTCAGAAGACGATGCACCCTGGCAGTGAAAGGCACTGGCTTACGTACCTTGCCGAACCGGGGCCCTCTGTGTTAAGACATCTGTATGGAGGGCGGGTCAGCTCCAGCCCGACAGAGACATTTGCGTGGCAAGAGACTGGGGAGAATGAATCCAGCATTTGCATTCACACACAAAAATCCACCGCCACAGAGCTGGGGGCATCTCGGAGGGACGTGACTGAAGGCAGGTCACTGCCGGCCTCAAGAGCTGGCTCGAGCCATGCGATGCCCTGTGCCGGTGACCAGACTTCAGACACCGGTTTAGGCTCATCGTTAAAAGCAAACCTTCCAAAACTCCATGAATCTCAGTCGACAGAAGTCACACACAAAAGCTGCGCCAATGGGCAAAGGCAGCCGTACAAACCAAACTGCAATTTAAGAGCTAGGCATCTCTTGCAGGAGCAGATCCCGGCACCGAGCAGAAACTCCTGCAGTACAGAAAGGCCAAGAAAGGCAGGCAGATTTTCAACATTCAGACATAGTTTGGTATTTCTTAGCTATAGCTGAAGGCGTACGGTGGGGAAGGACACGCCGCAGTGTTTCCAGGGCACAGCAGTTCTCCAAAGCAAGTGGCAGAGGTCAGCTCTTCCCTGGCTCCTCTCCTCAAAGAGGGAAGTGCTTTTGCCGGTCTTTCCTTCAGATGCGCTTGAAGCCAGCTGGAAAGGGAGGGGCACATTCCTGCCGGCACCCCCTTTCCCCTCAAAGAGGCTGTCAGACATAGGGAGGGTCTGTGATTGATCTGAGGAGGAGCCAGCTGCTTACCTACCCTGTCCCAGTGCAAATACACCGCCCTTGCAGGTGCAAGAGGAAGCGGCAGTAGAGCGGACCATGGCTGGAGAAACATATTCGGAAAGCCAGACAGAAGGGGACAGAAACAGGGAGCCTTGGGAGTGCCCGACACAGGCAACAGCAGGAGAGAGGAGAGCAGGTGAGAGAGAGCTGGGTCACACAGAAGAGTTTCACTAAAAAGCACTGTTAACAAACCCAAACGAACAAAACTGAATTGCTGCAAGATGGGCTGATCCAGTTCGAGGCAAGCAGCTTCAGAGACATAGAGAGCAAAACCATCTCGCTATGCTCCTACAGGTCCGGCACTGGCAGAAGAGGGCACATGGAGAGGAGGAAAAGAGTAAGTCTTCAGTCTCCAGATTAGGTGGCTCACAGAAGCAGCCCTCTCACACCCACCCTTTGACACCCTCTCCTCCCCGAGTGAACAGGGACTGCAATGCCCGCCCCCCCCCCCCCACATTAGCCAGTTTCTATAGTGGCAATGTGAGCAACGCGCTCTCAAAAACGGCTACAGGTAGCAAAAGCAGAGACACAAAAGCGCAGGCACGCACACTGTGTAAGGCAGCGCTCCAACAAAAATACCGACGTTGCAATCATGCGGAGAAAGAGAGCGTGAGATTTACAGTACGCTTGGAAAGGGGGGGGGAGAAAGAAAAAAAAAAAAAATCTGTTCTGTCTCCAAGGCTGAGCTAACCGAGCCAAGTCACCCTGTCGCCTCTTAAGATATTTCTTTCTAGATAAGATATCCCAACTCTCCCCTCCCCTTTCCAAATAAAGTGCAGATGGTCAAATATTACTGGTCCATCATCTGCCAGTTTCAGTCAGCATTGGGGAAATTAAACCCAAAAGCACGATATAGAAAAAAAAAATATCTCCAAACAACCCACCCTCAAAATCCCTTAGACTGAAGTCTCAGACTGTAAGCGGAGGACAAATTTATGAGATTTAGGGTCTATGAACTCTTCGGAGAGTTTGATGAAGGGGATTTTCTTCACATTAACAACAAGGCTGAAGTCCAAGCACTTGAGGACAAAAACAATGCCATCTTGTAACCCGCTTGTGACCGCCTCCTCGCTGACAAGTGTCCACTGCTTGGAGAACCAGCGATCCCTGTCGTACTGGAGGGTTGGGCCTGGGTTGAGGTAACGCTCCAGGAAT